ATATGCAACGTCGATAAAGCAAAGGTTTTAGATAACATGACAACAGCTGTATTACGTTTTCATGCATGTGAATACTGTAGACGTATTACCATACCCTACGGTGGCCCATAAGGGACATGGAGTCTGTTTTTCCATATTTTGATATTTCACTTACATTTATCGTAACCTTTTGCAAATTAACACGATTTATCTTACAAATATGTGATAAATCATATGTAAAGAAGATATTGAATCGCTTAAAAACGAAACGAAAATGTCAAAAACTAAAATGAAAATGTCAAAAACACAAAACGAAAATGTCAAAAACTAAAATGAAAATACAGAAAACTATGTCCACCGCCGTCATAATATTCCCACCGCGGTGATAATATTTACACCGTGGTGGAAATATTATCACCGCGGTGGAAATAGTTTTCTGTGTATTCATTTTAGTTTTTGACATTTTCTTTTTGTGTTTTTGACATTTTCATTTCAGTTTTTGACATTTTCGTTTTGGTTTTTGACATTTCCATTTTAGTTTTTGACATTTTCACTTCACATTTCAGCGACTCAATAGCTACTTAAAAGAACATTTTCCATGTTTTCGTATGTTTTTATACATGATTTATCACATATTTGTATGGCAAATTGTGTAAATTTGCAAAAGGTTACGATAAAAGTAAGGTAAACATCAAAATATTGAAAAACAGACTCCATGTCCCTTATGGGCCACCGTAATACCCAGATAAACATTTGATATATTTATTTGGCCCGAAGAGGATATGAAATACGCCATTGCTTATCATGTAAATAACAAATTTCTGTTAGCTCACCTTGACATGATCAATGTGTCATGTGAGTTTTTGTCATGAGTCTTCGCCCGCCTCTGCCTGTCAGCTGGCACTGAAACTCTTTCTCATGAACTCAAATACACAGCAAAATCATTTTCAGAGAACAAGCTCTTCATTTCCCTGGCTAGATCTTCAATCTTCATTTTTTTAAATCCCAAATGGCCACCGCCACTGCTCATTGGTGACTATCACAGACTTCGCCCCGACCTCTTCTCCGTAACATCGGACATATTGCTTTCAGAAATTCACAGGATATTCATAAGATCCTTCTGTCGAATGTAGTCGGGTTTAAATTTTTGAAACATTAAGACATGTTATAAAAAAAGTGTATGTGATAGGCATTACATCCAATAACTGGAAACATCATCTCCTCAGAAACCAGTGTATCAATGTCGCTGAAATTTGACAGATTATTCCCACCAATGATGACACCAGAATTTGTTGAAAAGGTTTTAATCAGATATTCAATATGGCCTCCGCGGAAGCCATATTGAAGATTGTAGCTTGTTATGGCCATTACGCGACTATGAGTGTCCACAATAATGGTATATGTGTCGTCAGTAAATCACTTTGTTCTGTTTTTGGCGATTCTTTATTCTTTTATATTTTACCTTTGCGTTTTGACATCCTCTTAAAGTCTCTCATTATTCATTTTTAGCTCTATTACGTAACTTCAGAAACTTCTGCACCATCGTAGCTGAAACTTCACATGCAGTGATCACCAGTCTACACTGGTTAACATTTATAAGCTGCAACATAAATTCCTACACATTTCAAGTTTATTTATCAGTTATTGGGAAACATATGAAGGATAAAGCACATCTGAAAATAGAATTTGTGATGAGATCAGAAAACGACGGCACAGAATAACCAAGATCATTCTATCCTTGATTTTGGTAGGATATATTCAAAACGAAACAGCCATTCATCCCATCAAAACGACCAGTGAAGATCCGGCGTGGAATAGGCCTTCAGTAACCCATGCTTGCTGTAAAAGGCGACTATGCTTGTTGAAGAGGCGATTAACGGGATCGGGTGGTCAGGCTTGCTGACTTGGTCGATGCATGTCATCGTATCCTAATTGCGTGGATCGATGCTCATGATGTCAATCACTGGATTGTCTGGTCCAGACACGATTATTTACAGACCGCCGTCATACAGCTGGAATATATTCTAATTGCGGCGTTAAACAACAAACCAAACCAAACAAACATCTTCAAAACGTCCGTTTTCAACTTCTGGTGTAGGTGAGCTTCTGTTCCTTTGTTACTCGGGTAGATCGTTACTTTCAACAAGCTTTTTTGTCGTTAAAATGTTCAGAAGCACGTGCACATGTAAGATTAAACACCAAACCACGCGGACAGAAGCACATCTGCTGTATCTAATGTAACAGTATGAATTTACATTGATTGCCACACTGTAGTCAAGTCGTTGAGTACACAGTATAATCTCAGGGACCTGACCTGGTTTCGAGATGATAACGAGTCGTTGAGCAATATTTTACACTGTAAGGTTGCCCACGAGGATACACTCATCACAATAGGGGTTTGAGGTATATTTCCATGGAAATAAGTTCTGCTAGAGCTGCTGGTCACACGAACAGATAGGTTGTTCACCATCCGATGGCGCGCATGTGAGTAAATACTATGATTGCAAATCTTTGAAAGGTATTTAGAAGCGATACACATAAGGAAGAGAATTTATGGATGTCAACTTTTTTTTTTTATGAGGAACACAACGTTTCGGAGTAGATGCTTACTCCTTTAAAAGGTGAAACGTTGTGGACCTCATAATAAGGAAGCTGACATTCATCAATTCTCTTCTCTGTATGATTTCAAATATTTACGTTATAATTACAAAGCCAGAAAATAAACACCATCATCGATGTGAGTGAGTGAGTATGGTTTTGCGCCGCTTTTAGCAATATTCCAGCTTTTTCACGGCGTGGGACACCAGAAACGGGCTTCACACATTGTACCCATGTCGGGAATCGAACCCGGGTCTTCGGCGCGACGAGCGAATCATCGATGTACGATTATGTTACAAATAGGTATAATGTTGAATAGTACCATGCTGTATATATACTACAAAATTTTGATAGGTATAATCAGAAATGGCATTCTATTTACATATACACAAGACATAATGGGAATCAGTTTTGTGCCTCATGGAAAGATAGAAACATCCCTATGAAAGATAGAGTAGTGTATTATAAGATGTGTGGCTTTTGAGAATGTATTTGTCTGTATAACAATGTCGGGGCAGCTGCAGCATGTCCGTCTGCCATATTCTACTCAACGGTTGCTAAGGACTACACTTGTGACTAAAGACGACAGTCCTTAGCAAATATTGAGTAGTTTATAGACACATTCCTTATCGCCCACATTTAGACGACGGAAATAGATATGGTCCACATTTTTAACCCTTGAAGTGTTCGGCAGAAGCTGATAGATGACCTCGGCGAGTGCGGGTTAGTTTCGGGAATGGGATGGGGAGTTTGGTTCAAAGTCTGAACGGGGGCACGGGTGGCCCAGTCGTCTAAGGCGCCGCGATTCGCCGTGCAGAGTTGCATCCCTTGGGCACGCCAGAAACCTATGATTGTGGGTTCGAATCCCGGTTCGCCCCGATTATGTTTCTAGGTTTGTCAGCACCATGCCCGTGCTCTTGGGTTTCACCGAAGTGGTAAACGTCTAAGACCTGCATCACTTCGGGCTTTCCTCCCACATTAAGCTGACACGCCGTGATATAACTGGAATACTGTTAAAAGCGGCGTTAAACCCAACTCACTCACAATCCTTACATGATGCGATATGGACCTTTCAGCAGATCGTAGTCATGGTAGCAGTGGGCGATGGGGTAGCCAGGTGGATAAAGTGTTAGCTCGTAACGCCGAAGACCATGGTTCGATTATCCATCAGGGTGACAATGTAATTCTTGGTACCAGTGTGCGAAGCATTCAGACAAGTATTTACAGCTCATTTCTGTTTTCGAAAACATATAATCAGGGGCTTTCGAGTACAAAAATACAAAGCCACGCTCTTAAAATGTTATTTCATACACCCAGTCGTTTCTGAGCGCCACGGCATAGTCACCGAAATGGGTGTACTATGACTGGTATACTTGTGTTCTGTTTTCTTTTCCTAAGATCGCAATTTTAAAATGAAAGCGGTTCAGAAATGGGGATAAATCGTTTTAGAAAGCTGACATCTGGTTTGCTCAAGAAGAACCCACGCATTCTTCTTTTAAACTCTACTCACTCATGATCAGAGCTGACCATCTATGAAGATAGTGTAAGATGTGAGGTGAGGTGAAATTGGGTTTAACGTCGCGTCCAAGATTATTGCACTTATATAGCGACATGCATGCACGTTTTTGCGTGGCTGCTTGTACTAGTCCGGACTGTTGCCGATTTATAGTGCTAGCTCACTGAGATACAATGCCGCAGTTTAACATGAATACCCCACTCAGACACAGTAAGGAGCAGGAGTAAGGATCGGATTGTAATGAGCTTGCTAATTATATACCTTATAGAGAATGCAATCCACGTACATGCATCAATTATCCGAACAATGTAAACCGTTCTTGCTAAGTGGTTCATCGGTACCTCTTATTCATTTCGTGAACACCTGGTGTCATCACTGATTTTCAGTGATTCATTCCGATAATTTTCACAACTATTTTGCCTTATCGCCAATGGAACTTTCACGACTGATTACGTTGCGTTGACGTTTTACATTTACAAGATCAGGTGACCAAAAGAGTATGGTTACCAGACTATACAAAGATATATCGACACCCAGCCGCCTTTTTATTACAGTCCACATATTACATATTACAGCAATATTCCAGCAATATCACGGCGGGGGACACCAGAAATGGGCTTCACACATTGTACCCATGTCCGGAATCGAACCCGGGTCTTCGGCGCGACGATCGAACACTTTAACCACTAGGTTACCCGCCCGCCCCTTATAATATATCAGTCAATCCAATATATGTATTGTACCCATATCTTGATAATGTTTTAAGATCCTATGAAGTGCTACACTCGTATACCCCATGTACCTATGTTACAGATATATGTCTACTGAATTGAAATTTTAGGAAAAGGTGTGACATTTTTCATGTAAGATGGATGTTTACTTATATTTATTATTTGTTTTCTTCCAGGTGGTGTGGCGGTATGATATGCTGCCCGTGGTGCACAAAATGTGTGGACATCGTTCCTAAACAGATAATACTTTTGTACGCTCTTACATTTCTCGTTTTCCTCCCTCTAATATGCTTCAACCTTCGCCATTCCTTGTACCATCTGCGTTTGCACGATGCAGACGAAGAAGAAACGCACCTGATGACTGAAAACGACAAGCGATTGGTCGAAAATGGACAAATCATCAAGAAGTACAACGAGTCTGTGATTCAAAACAGCCAATCGGGGCCTTCGTTACATTCTGAGGATATGGACGTGGGTATTACTGTGATAACGGTTTCGCGAAATCGGCACCGCAAGGGCGGCTACAGGCCTCAGTATCTTACCCAGGTTGTCGGACGACTGCTGGGTCTGTTGAATAGCACAGCCAAACATTCGAAACTGAAATACGGGTTGTTTGTCTGTAACGTCGATGACCATCCGGAAACTTATGACGAACTGAAGCCTTTGAAAATCCTCCTTCCAACTTTTCAAATGTATCAACTGAAACAGGATACCAAAATCGACATTTTCGAAAAAGAGAAACGGGACTATATCTTCTGTTTGGAAGAGACTCTGAAACGAAACGCATTATATGCATTCTTGGTGGAGGATGACGGTTATCCCCACAAAGACCTGATTCCAGTTTTAGAACGAACCATTGACAGCCATATCGAACAAAAAGCCGTGTCGGAGTTTTCACCAAAAGTGTTACCACGAAATGTGACGTATGTAAAATTCTACCACCCGGAACGGTTGCTAGGATACATCAATGCCGAATGGGAACGCATTCCAGAGTTGATATCAGTTAGTTTCGTATTCGGAACACTGATGACTATTTTATACGCGCACTTTATTCTACAGTGGACTAGACATAATATTCGGATGATGTGGTTTGCTTGTGTTCTGTATTGCGGTCTTGTGGCGCTGTTCGTTGGGCGTGTCAACTTAATGGAGCTGCGCAGGGTGTCTGTGCAGACGTACCAAGTCACCTCGGCTCCATCTTGTTGCACGCCCGCCATGTTGTTTCCGAAACAGGGTGGTTATGAAATTGTGAAACGGTTGAGTGCGGTTACGTGTAAAAGAAGATATGGAAAAGATACGGCTTTGGAGGATATTCGTAGAAGATATGGTTACACGGCACTGATGGTCCAACCAAACCTTTTTAAACATATCGGTTTGTTTTCGTCTCTACGGAAAGGGATCATTGATCCGTTTATTGTCTGACCCAAGTTGTTAAGTCAACGGCTGCATGGTTATTATTGAATCAGCCTTCACGTTGCCCAGTGCCAAAAATATATTTTACTTCTTATAGGGAGTCAGAATATCGCCTCCTGTCAATCAAACAACAGGATTGACCATTCAGAAGTGACACAGAATCCGCCATATTGTCCGACAACTTCAAACCTATCGGATTTGAATTTAAATTATAGAATTTTACCAGTTTACCAGTTTAAATTATACAATTTTACCAGTTTCCCAGATTTCTTTTTGTTTCATGTGCAGCGCAATTACCAATGAGATGTTGATCTAAAAATTCCAGCAATGTTAAAACAGGCATGATGGTAGAAATATTATATGAATATTTCAAAAAACATTATCCTGAAATATAGGTACATACAGAGACAAAGGAACACATATTCTGGACCTACTGGTTACAATAGCCTGATTCACATTACATGATGCTAGAAATAGCGGTCCAATCAGTTTATACCAAATAGCGATAAAGGAGATTGGGGTGGTGACGTCAATTCCGAAACGAGGCTATACTGCCGAATGAATCCAGGGCAGATATGATACACTGGATAATCGAGGGTGACACAAATGCTCATTATTTTAACAGCCTTTCTTGCCATGCAGTGTCAACTACTGAGCGTAACCATAACCTTGGTCCCAATTTTCGAAACACAGCTGAAATGAAATCAGAATGCTATACATAAATCCAGAGTTAGGTCCAGTGTCGTTTGAACACCTTTATCCAGAACTAATTAGCTTTACGAGATAAGGCAGTTCGGGCTTAAAACTCGACCACTGGGAGTAACACATGCGGTATTTCCAGATATCTTTTGATCAGTGTATTTTAGTTTAAAAATACATTGAGAATGTCTGGGTTATGTTAGAATGGGTTATGTCAGAATGGGTTATATGGTACAGTAACTATTATTGTGACCTCACAGTCCTAGTAATGGATCGACATTGTTACGAAATTGCAGAGAAAGCCCATAAGTTGTGATACCATGCGATTGTTGTCAAGAATGATCCCGACAGCCTTCATAACACTGTTTCAGTAATCCTGAGAGGACGAGGTATACGGGATCTTTTTGGCCAACATGATCTGCATAATTTAGGAATGGAGAAAAAACGTTTAGAAATTGTTATTAAAGTTCAGAAATTATCATGGAAGTTATCAGGTGTGTTATATGAACATGAGTTAGACTTTGTTCATTTTCTTTGTTCCAGGATGAAATGTGTCAAACAGGTTTGCGAAAAGTGTTCTCTAATAATTTGAACATGATCAGTCCTTGACATGCAGAAATCCATGGTGCACTGACAGACAGTCACGCATACACGTGTCTCCCGTCTCGCGTACACGTTACGTCCTCTGCTGTTGACCAAACCTTTTTTGTCATTGGGAGATATAAAAACAGCACTAACATTCATCTTGGGTTGAGGACTTGCCCAAACTTCGATTTTTAGTTTCAGAAAAAAAATGTCCACTTGTTTTGAACTTTTTAGCCATGCTTATGTATTTTCTTCATGGCCCTGAACTTTGAGTAGGAGAGAAAAAGGCCTGTTGTCGGGCATTCAAACATGTCTTATGATTTTCGCACCTATATTTATATAGTTTCCCGCAGCATCAGAAAGTGACATTTTCAGTTGGCCAAAAGGAGTCCGTAACCAACCTCGTCCTTTGTTGTTCTGTAGATCTCACTGGGGTCAGTCCTGTCCTACTTAACGAGCTTTCCAATTTAACAATATCCCCATCTAGAATTGCCAAATATATGACCAGATGTCGGTGCTGTTATGAAAGTGTACCAAAGGTCTGGCACACTTGAGTATGCATTTCCTGTTTAAAAAGCACAACCTTTTCAGTCCCTAGAATGACTATAGTCTTACGTCTTTGTTTCACACAATGTACCCATGTGGGGAATAGAACCCGGGCTTATGCGTGTCGAACGCTTTAACAACATTCAGAACAACCAGACTACCATTCAGAACAGGGTGTAGTCCCACAAATACAAGCTTTATATTTATGACTCTATATTTATATTAAGTTTATCATTATATTTAATATTGGTTTGTTTTTCTATTTATGTGCCAGTTTATTTTAAAATAATATCGATTTACACTGAGGACTACTTTGAATGAGCGTAACCCTTATAAAGCAATGACCGTAATCAGAGTTTATGGTGAATGTATAGATGTTGATATAGTTTATTTAATACGAGTCTATCATATCTGTAAGGTGGGGCTTCACGTCGCGTTTAAGATTATTGAACTTTTACAGTGACGTGCATGAATGAGTGTGTCTGCTTATATTAGTCCGGACAAAGGCCGGTTTTGAAGTGCTAGCCCACTGAGATTCCATTTCGCAGTTTAACATGGATACCACTCTCGGAGACAGTATACTGACTCCGAACCGACCAGTCCTTGTTTTGTACCCTTAATGCCGAGCGCCAGGCAAGATCATTTAAAGTCTTTTGGTATGACACGGTCAGGGATCTCCGCTCTCCAGTCAGACGCGCTGTCCACTCGACCACGGGGCGGTCAAACGGGTTTAAGAAATCCTGTTACTCAGTGTCATGACCTATACAAGGCGGGATGGCCAATGTTCGTGTTTGACTTTATGGACAGTGATAATTTGCTGTGTTGAGTTAACGCCAATAAGATTTAAATACTGTTGAAAGCGGCGTTTACTCTCTCCCCCCCCCCCCCCACCCCCCCACCCCCCCACCCCCCGTCCTCGCTCAATACGTTGTTGTGTATCCAGATACATGTTGCAAGCTTTACAGTGTTCAACGAATGAAGCATTAGAGAATTACAGTGTAAATAAATAATTTCTTCCAAGTCAAACACGAAGCTTTCTTGTTATAATGTATGAACCTTTATAAAATTATTTGTCATTTGTTAAAATAAAACGTAACAATAATTCGTTTTGTATTTTATTCATGCTCAACAGGTATGCTAATTTACCGTTCTTATTGATACAATTGGGTACAGACGAGCGTATCACAATGTACCCGGTTCTATAGGAGAACCATCTTGCCGAGGTACACAATGTAAGGAAGATAACAACTGTTAGTCCAGTCCAGTTTCCTCCCTTGCAGAACTAGGATGGAATTTCTTGTCTATTACGACTGCTGTCCCCTCTATGTCCCTCCTACTGACCAATCAGATTCCACCTCTCATGTCACTTGCATTTGCTTCAAACAAAATGGCGGCGCCCAGTAAGGACGATCTGATCGATAATCAAGATCTATATTGGAATAAAACGGGTTTACCTCGCGAAGGGCATCAAATCACTTGAGCACCTTATCTAAAAACATGAAAATATTTGCAAAATATCTGTCGACGCCCAGTTTTCGATACCCATGCTTTGCAAATCCTGCAGTCGACCGAAATCTGCACGTTGAAATCCATTTTGTTTACAAACCGGATGAATAGTTCGTTACGCGATTTCGATTGGACTATGCATAGACTCGTTCGTCCAGCCAAACTCCGGAATAGCATCCTAGTTGGGCAAGGGTGGAAACTGGACTTTTATAGTCTGTCAACTCCCTTGCCTCAGGAAGATGGTCTCGAGTCTGACTGTAGTGTCGGTTTCATTTTTGTTGTATGTCAATACCTATGTATGTATGACTCCCAAGTGCACACTCGCGTTGATGGGTTCGAATCTGGCACCTTCCGTTGTGTACTTTAAGAACGTTCAGCGAACCTCAAATTTAATCCCTTCGATATAAGGCGACGGTATTTATCTCAGTATAATTCTTCATGATTAACTGGACACCGATGGAGATAAAGTGAAGCGTAGTGGGGTACCGGAAACGGATGTGGTGTCCTGGTTCACAAGATCAAATTGCAGTAATGCAATTGTGCGGCTAGGACTATGTGGTGCAACGTAGTCAGGTAACAATTCAGGTTAAGTTTAGCGGAGAGTAGTTGGATGGGTGGCCGCGTTTCGTCAGCTTGGCTCTTGAGAGTTTTGTACGTCTTATCCCACACAGAATCACATGTACATCTAGCACATATGGTGTCACCTTGGAAAAATAGCTTTGTTCCAAATGTGCCGCTATTCACCCAGCAGTGAATGGGTACCCGGTAGGATGAGATGTTAACTTTCTAGCGCCTAACGGGCAGATTAGGTTGTATACTCCCCAGGAAACTGAGAATGATTTTCAGCGCACACTGATCCAGTGACCTGGGTTATAACAGCACTTTGAGCATGTCCCTGTGTTGTGTGGAAATATACGCAATATAATTGGCCTATTATTATGTTAATGGACCGCTTTATGGTAAGCAGTCATAGTACAAACAAGAACAAACACTTGCAATCAATCGGCCATCATTTAGCATACTAAAGTTAATGCTTTGATAATCCATTAGGCCTTACATATCTTGTGTTTGGTTCACTGATTCGCCGACCTTACAAAATCAAAAGAAAAACAAGATCGCCTTGACCATAAAACTGACAATGAAATGCCGCCGTCAGTTCTTTCACTTATAATATTTAATGGAACCAGATATCTTTAAATCTTTTTTTTATCTCCCAATAATACTTTAAGATGATTTAAAAACTCCCTTACAATGCATTGTAATATTAATTGACTATTGGATTGACTGTCATATTATAATAAGTAAGCTGGTGATTCTTTCCATTTTCTGTCAAATTCATCAATACTACTATTTTTCATTGCAATAATCTTTTCTATTTTACATACATCTTTCAATATTTTTAGGAAGAAAGGAAAGTATAATGGTGTTTTCTTCATGCTTGACTGGTGAATAACATGTTTTGCAAGAAGAATTATATGGTTGAAAAGGGAGTTCTTTTTGTTTTATCACTACTGGTAATATAAATAGCATATGCAAGTTTCAAGTTTAGGTACAGTTCAGTTTCTAAACAAAATTGCTTTACAAAAACACATTTTACATATACATGGTATAATTTTTAAGTTTCAGAGATACAAAAAGAGCATATGTCATCATCAAATAACTTCATTTTTTGATAATTCCTTTTTGGTATATAGAGCTCTATTTATTAATCTAAGCCGGAAATCGATTAGTTTAACATCATCTGTACACATTTTACAGTTAGTAAAATCATTATTCCATAATATGCTTTGATTGAGTTCATTTTCTCATTTATAACACATCAGAGGAAAGCTAGTTGTCGCTATGAGTTTATCATAAAATATTCTGGAGCCCTTTGTTCTTATCAACAAGTCTCTCCAAATGTTATTTATCTAAAAATTCGCC